GGCACAAACAAATGTTTCCGCGAGTATAAATTCGATGGTTCCGAACCTGATCTGATTCAAAATACTTGGGGTAAACTGACTGAGAAATTAAATTCTTTGGGGGATCCTATCAGGACTGTAGCGGGATGGAAAAGGGTAAGTTATCTGCCTTATCCTGTCCAAGTCGCATTACCTTTTTTAAATGAAAATAATGGTGGATTCAAGATTTTCAGCGATTGGAAAAGTCAAACCAGAGCGAAGGCACGAAAATATCATTTCTGATCTCATGTTCCCTATTCAATAGCTAAGCATCGTCAATTTCATTTTGATCAAGATGCTCATCATCATTGTTCTCCTGTATAATGATATCTTCAGGAACCAATGTATTTCTGTCCCTTATAATGTTGTGTAGAATCGCACAGGCATAAACTATTCGTGCAACGAAAGCTGGATGATAATGACGAACTCTATCAGGATGTAGGCACCTCCAGACCCCCTTCAATTCTACCTTCAGGTGCAGCGCGGACGATGGGAGTTAAAAAATAGGACAAAAGCGGGTATCCTGAGTCTCCAAGTAAATATAATCCATGGTTGCCATGAAGAAATCTCTGATGCATAAATCTTCCTGGATTACTCATCCTCCAAATAGCTGCGTCGTGAACGCCCCTGGAAACTGAGCATTTATGGCCAATATTTTACAATTAGAATCGCAAATTATTTGACAGTTTATACTGTAAAAGTTCTTCCGATTTATGGATACGTTCAGTGGATATCCAAGGTCTTCACCACTTGGTGAAACTATTTTTATGTGGGAACAATCAATACACCCGATGATGCCACGAACATGAAACTTGCGATAGTATCCATTTGTAATTTCTGCTATCTGTTGAACATTTTGGGGAAATTGGATGTATGTGTTAGCCATATGGTTAACCATAGCATTAACCACTTCATGCAAGTACCGGCTAACGTTAGCCTGCGATGATCCGTTGAACGTGTCTTCACTCACAGATTTTTGCTAGCTGCCATGAGCTAAGAAGTGAAGCGCTACGAAAAATCTAACTACAGGTGGTGTTTTGGTGTTTCTCACTGCAATATCAAGGTGCGGCAATATTTCCTGAAAAAAGTCATTAGCCGCCTCAACAATAAGCCGGTACATCCTCCTAAAAACGTTCTCGGGCAATTCAAAAGGATTACTATTATCTATCAACCGGTGGAACGTATTTCTTCTTTGCTCTCTGAAATTTCGTATGGTTTTGACGAACCTTTTTTGTAATTCATCCAACATGCGATCTAACAAGTCGTTCATCGTCGATATTTTATATTATTTCACACTTTATTGTATTGAATGATCACTCACAATAAAAAAAAACTCTGAACGACTGCCTGAGAGTTGCCGCTAACAAACGATGAAAACTGTCACTTCTCAACGACTGTCGCTCGCTACAGAATAAGTAAAGTCGTTCAGTAACGATTATCGTTGGATACTGAATAGTAATACTAATGTCGTTCAGTAACGATTGTCGCTCACTAACGACGTCGTTATGAGTTACAGAATCAGCCCCTTAGCGGGTATACATACGTTCATAGTAAACTTTGTTTCACCAGAGTTCATATTTTTGACCTTATTTGCCTTCCTTTTTTAACAAATAGAAATTGACTGAAACAAATCAATGACGTCAAAAATGTCCGTCGGTTCTTGAACCAGAAGCCATTCATTTCAAATTGTCAAAAAAATTGAATTTGTCATATGAATTAATCTACGACAACCCTTTTTTTTTGCAAGTTTCAAGGTCAAGTATGAACCATGGAAATTTGACAGGTTGACCCTCGTATAATAATGACATTTGATGACAAAATATTTTTCAAATTTCAGGGTTATGAAACAGAAAGCCGAGTTGCCAGAATGTGTAAAATATCTGAGTAAATTCAAATAGTAAAATTATTCAATTTATTAATTAAACGTAACCATAACAGTAAGCTCAATAGCATAAATATGTTTTTCTATTTTGGTATCATATCGAAGTCTTTTCGACACTAAAAGTAGTTTCGAAAAGAACCTCTTTGTGACACTCCTTTTTTAGTTATCGGAGGTTGGTAACACTGGCTGACTGATGGCCATCGAACTGTCATTCGCGATAAAAAAAATAGAAGATTCCTATATTTGGCATGTAGTGTTGCCAACCTAAACATATGAAATCAGGAAATATGAGAATAAAATTTCCAAGAAAAGTTTTTTTTTTAAATTAAACAATACCAAAATAGAAAAAAAAGTATAAAATATTCGTTTCATAAGACATTTTATCGCACTCGCCCTTTAGAAAACTCGCCTCCGGCTCGTTTTCTAATATAGGGCTCGTGCGATAAAATGACGTCTTATGAAACTTGTATTTTAATGTACTATTTTGCAGCAACTTTTTTTTCGGGTTTGGTCCCTGAGATTTTTCCGTCACGATATTCTTCTTCTTCCTGGTCCTCTCTTTCCAAATATCTTTCCTTGCAGGAACGATTGTAACAAAGCCTTATCTTTTTGAAAGGGTTGTAAGGCATGGGAGGGTGGGTAAGATCTCGACAATTTTTACATAAGGCCATTTTTTGAGAAAGTGTTAATATACTTAACCCCCATGCCATTTCAATAGGATTATATTGGCAATGATAAGGAGGTAATCTAAGAACTTCGTGTTTGTGGCTTTTCAAAATGTCGTCAATTTTGTATTGTTTTGGTCTATTCCGATATGGTTGAGTTAGGTCCCATAGTTGTTTTTTGGTCATTTTTGTGTCGAAGTCTACGTTATGTTTAACCAACCATTCCTGCATTTTGTCTTTCTTTGAAGAGAATGAAGGTGGTTTATCCTTCCGCTCTGAATGATATGGAGCGTTGTCCATGATTATTACACTTTTCTCTTCAAATATATTCAATGCAGGAATTAGTTGATCAACGACCCATTTTTGGAAGATGTCCGCGTTCATGGTATTGTGGTAGTCTCTGTCATTGTTTCTTGAATCTAGAAAAAAATCGCACCCATCTAAAAACCCAGAACTACTCTCCGCATGCAAAGTAGTAAAACGTTTCCCCTCTGACTTAATTTTGGATGGGTTGCTTTTCATATCAGATTCGTGTATCCATCGACGAACTTGAGATCCGTTTTGGTAGATCCAAGTTTCATCTAAATACATGAATCTGATATTTTCGTTTGAATGTTTATATTGGAGGTACTTCCGCAAAAATGTAATTTTGGCAGCAAGAACATATTTCTGCTCACATAAAATTTTGCGTCTATTTACTGCTTGAAATTTATATCCCATAGATTTTAAAATTTTATATAAACTTGTTTGCCCTCCCTTAAATTCCAAATTTTCTTTTGCGTATGTCAGTAATGTAAAATATTTATTTTTAGAATTGTATTTCCAAATTTGTCGTTGTAAATCTTCTTCAAACATTCGGTCCATAATAGTCTCTGTCTTTTTCGGTCGGCCTAAAGGTTTTTTGATTGTATATTGTCCAGTCAAAATTCTTTGAATAGTCCTGGTTCCCAACTAAAATTTAAGGAAAATGTTGGTTGGGTAAGAAATGGCTTCACATCTACATTTAAGTTATATCTACCTCAAATATATCTGCAAGTTGGGATTCAATTGTTCCCTGGAGAGCCTCTGGTTTATTTATTTTTTTTAAATAACCATGACATTTTATTATTTCCCTTTTTTTTTTCTTCTGAGATTATTTTCAGCATATGTTCTGTGTTTGGCATCTTCAATACGAAAAAAATTTGACAATGCCGAATTTTAAAAAATGTCATTAGATTTTTCAGGTACGCAAAATAGTTAGGTACCGTTTATAATATAGCATTATGGAAAAATGCATTGAAAAATGTGTCAAATTTGATTTGCCAGATAGGCCAGAAAATTTTAATACCGCGACACTTACGAAATTATGTAAACCACACTTGAAACTGTCTGGAATTTGACATATACTGTCATTATTATACGAGGGTCAACCTGCCAAATTTCCATGGATAATGCTACGCCAATAATAAGTGAAAAGCATATATAAGTGCTACACAATCCCACATATTCTGTCCTTTAGAAAATAAGTTGTGTCTGGCGGACTCTTGGACTATCAAAACAACAAAAATTTGCTTTCAACGCGTCCAGACTTGCTCCAAAAGCGAGCATATAAAAACAAAGTCTCCCAAACAACTTTAAACATTTGTTTAATGAAGAACTGGATTAAAATACAGTCTATCTTCACTCTTTATTTTACAAAAAATATAATCAGTTGAAAGGGGGGTTGAACATGTTTCGGATCTATCATAGATCCATCATCAGCATACATTCAAATGGTAGAGAGGAATATGGTCACATACGATATGCCTTAGCATTAATGGTTATATAAAAGTGTTCATGCTGTATTCAACATAAGGTTGCTCATGCCATGCCGACTCCAACACAAAACATAAAGTTACAAAACTGGAAGAGAGGAAGCTCATAAGCCCCATTAATGCTTAGGCATATCCTCGAGCATATCGTATGTGACCATATTCCCCTCTACCATTTGAATTTATGCTGATGATGGATCTATGATAGATCCGAAACATGTTAAACTGATTATATTTTTTATAAAATAAAGAGTGATGATAGACTGTGTGTTTAACTCCAGTTCTTTAACTTTTCTCTTCACTGGACTATTATTTCAAAATTTATTTAAATGTTTTTAAACAAATGTTTGCAAACACATTTTGAACAGCTTTTATACAGTTTTTATACAAATGTTGGCGGGCAAATGTATGTAAGGTCTCGACTAGGCTTTACTTGCATGTGTAAAAAGCAAATGAATAGCACCTAAGGAGAGATTTGCACCACCTATTTCCAAATGTTAAAACAATAATTTTTATAAATCAAAACCAATTACTGCAATGAAAACCTAATTATTTCTGCAAGATACCCTCTAGCTAATACAAAATTTACCAAAAAATTAGGTCGACATTGCATGTGAAAAAAAAAAAATGTTTGGGGTTACCTACCGCTCAAATTGCTGTCAGCCAAAGGAAGGAGGGGATGGGCACTAATGCTGTTTCCGACCGCGCTCGTGTGCATGTTGGAGGCGCTCGAGTGCGCACTCGAGTGCCGGAACGAGTGAGACCTGGGCAAAGGAACGAGGAATGATTTATTTTTTAAAGTTTTTGTGGAACAGCACAAAAAAAAATTAAAAACACATTCAGACAACTAAGAAACATTTATGGTAAACTAACGTGGATATTTATTTTTAACCTTTTTGAATTTATTTCTTAAAAATTATAGGAAATTTGTTATATTTTATTGGCTCTATAAAGCAATTTTTGTGTCACAGAAAGGACTGAAGATTGCTTTAAAAAATTACCCTTCCTCCTTCCCTTGACAAGAAATCTCTCAAAAAAAAAATATGTATGTATAGCAAAAAACTCAAAGTAGGAATACAGCAATTTTCAGGTGATTCAAAAGGCTAAAAACAAACATGCTCCACACGTCACAAAAATACTACCTTTCTATTTTATTTTTTTTTCTTTGGGTGGAGGGGACAAAGTCTCTATAAGCATTTTAAGCAGGATAATTTGGGTCCAACCTCATCTTTTAATTAATTTTGATTTTCAGAGTCCAAACAGAAAAAAAAAATCAATACTATACCTACAGAAACACCTTGTAAGAAACTCCAAGAGTTGCAGATGTATCGTTGCACTAGTGCATTTTACAGAACAATTCATGACTTTTCAGACTATTATCTTCTAAATGTACAGGTTGTTTTCAATTAAGGTACAGGGCTTTTGCCCATATATTGACACTCCACCTGCAGTTTTTACCTTCAGTAAGAAGAAAGGTGTAAATTCAGTTGTTGTTCAGTTCTTTAGTAATTTATTGCATATCGTTAATAAAGCAGCGATGGGATAGACCTATAATCTAGTGTTTTGTATTCGCACCTTTCTTCTACCTGTAAAAATAGGTGGGATTTCAATATATGGGAAAACACTCTGTACATAAATTGTGAACTTTGCAATTGAGAACTTATATGGTAGAACTTTTGAAGACGTGAAACACAATATTTCAATTTTCTCAAAGTTAAAAGCAACAAAACTGTTATGTGTATATGTAACCCTTTAAGTTCATAGTTTATCAAATATTCTGTACAAATTAAAAGTTTTGGAAGTATCTAAAATAATATACTGTATTGTAAGTAACTTTGTACATTAGTTGTAAAATAAACAATTTATAAGACTTGAATTCATGCATTAGCTTACCTTTGAAATGTCTGTCTTTTCACATAATTATCCCTGACAAATTCAACAACTTGTTTTTGCGTTTTACCGCTATACCTACAAAAATTAACCAGATAAAACTATATTAAACAATAAATAATCATCGTTACCTAAAAGAACTACCTCTAGATAATACTCTTGTCTTATGTCGGGATACGTTTTTTACAGAGGAACACCTGAAGAAACCGTGATTTTCCACGCATTTTTTCCAGAAATTTTTACATTCGTTCCGGCCTTCGAAAAAGAACTCAACTGTGTCTTTGTAGTAGCCCTGAAAAAAAAATTGAAATTTATAAGTAATCTAACTTTCGATTTGGAATGAATAATTAATAGAATCAGGAAAGAAAATATTTTTGAAGAAGTACATACATATCTACTTACATATCCTTCTGGATGTAGTTTAATCAAAAACTTTTTCCTCTTGAAAGAAATTTTCCGGATTTTCGCCCACGAAAACGTATTGATTTTGGTATAATTCTGGAAAACAATGATGCCCATATGAGCCACTGCCAAGTTTAAAGCGACGTTTTCGTGATCTTTGGCCAAGTGCATTTTCATGCCGTACAATTCGCACCTGCGAGCAGTTTCAAGGAGATTTAGATCGGCTTCAGCTGGAGACTGTCCCCTAAAATGAGCAAAACTGGTTTAGGACTAAAGTATCAAGCTAAATTTCACTAAAAAAAGCTGGTCAAGGGCTTGAAGATTTATTTGTTTGCAACCCGTAGTAGATATTTACAATACCAGTGAGATAAGAACACTATACAATTTCTTAGACATTATATGCTGTTCTCCAAAGAATAAAAATTAATTAAACGTTAGCTTCTACAAACAATACAAACTCACGCATGTTTCTTGTGATTCTCCATAATCTTTTTCTCCATTTCGTTATCCTGTTGCGGTACAAACTTATAGCTAGACAAATACGTATGATCCGGATAGTCTTCCGGAACATAATCCCCACACTCGGCTTGCACTATGTAGCTGGCCATAAGAGCCGCAGTATTTTCATTGCATTGCATATTTCCATAGGCTAAATCACGTTTGACTTGCAGACAAAATAAATAACGGGTATATTCTTCTTCAAGCTGAGCTGGATCGGGGGTGTAGAATTTAACGCAGAAATAGAGCAAGGGATCGACTAGGGAAAGCCCTAATTGTCTCGAGATGGGTTTTTGAAGATCCAGCCAATACTACAAAAAAAAAAACAGATTATCTAAGTGTTTGTTGTGTGTTTATATCTACATTATTTATGTGTTTTCATTGTAACCATGTTATGAAATATTCAGTATTTACGCAAGCTATTATTTATTGGGAAGCATTATTTAAAAAAATATGAACACACTTGCAGCAAAAATGTTTAATTTCGATAGATTTAGTTTTAATTATGCCACATTAAACTATTTATGATTTATGAATCATATTTCTCTTACTAATAATAAGCTATCTGTGAGAAGAATATATAATTAGAAACTACAAAACAAAGTTACTTTGAAAATTCCAAAAATATAAGATCACAATATGAAATTCCCCAAAAGCAATATATAAGGGGAATTTTAATAGCCCATCTCAGGGGCTTTAAAATGGGAGCAAGATAAAGCATAAATCTCGCTTATTATGTAAAATCCTAAACAAGTGGAGATTTACGCCTTTTTGATAGGTACTTGAATTAATCTATCGTGTGAAAATTCTTACCTTGGTTCCGTGTAAATCCGCATATTCCAATCCGAAATAGTCGGCCTCTAATAGGTGTAGCTGTTTGCATACTTGTTCAAATAAGACCCTACCCAAAGCTTTCGCCTGAAACAAGAGACGAGATTAGTTCCTCTAGCTGTATTTGTTGGGGTAAGAAAGCAACCCCTATACACAAAAATTCCATTTAAACTTTTTCGCTTTTAAAACTTTTCGATAAAGTTTTTAAAGCTCCATTACGCCCTAAAGTAACCCCTCATTTATTGCGGCGCTATTTATAACTCTGCATCCCTCATTTTTTATAGAACGTGTGCCACTACAAACATGCGGCCATTAAATTTCACACATGTGAAACGACATCTTGCAGTTAAAATAATAAAAAAATACCTTCTTTGTACTTTGCCTTTTGTATGCTGTGTACATAGGACAGCTGTGCTGTGTACACCTTTTGTGAATTCAATTTATTTTAGCTTGATGACTTATTCAACATTTAAATTCTGCAGTTAATGATGGCAAAATATATTCAAAATGATGATGCGAAAGTACTAAGGTTTTTTGATAAATGCAATAACCTTGATTTAAATTGTTTTCAACAATTTATCATATTAAATTCAGACAAGTTTACCAAGGCAGTATTTAGTTTTGTGATTTTATCTGTAATTGTTTTATCAATGAGGCAATGTTGGAATTACATTAAACAACATAAAATAATGTTATTAAACATTGAAATAATGAAAATTTAATTTAATATCCAGTATTAATTATAATCGGGTTAAATTTAAACTATCACAACTCTGAACTCAAATTCAAAAAATATATATTTTGTACCAGAGAAGGCAGCATTGCATTCTAAATATTGAAATTAGTTTTCTGTCTACCCACAACCAAACGGAATTTCGTTGATGGTTGGGCAACCCAGTCAGGCCTACATTTATTTGGGTAAATGAACATGGTCCGTTGTTAATATTTCCTCCCAATTTTGTGCATATGCAATATTAGGCAAATTGCACTTCAATCAAAAATTGCAAGAGAAAACCTGACAGTGGTGCATATTAATTTTTGTTATTGAGCGAACGTGAAATAATTACATTAAAATATGCTTTATAAATAATTCCGTGTACGTATTTTGAAAGGAAGCATAGTACACCTACGAAAAAAATATTTAAATGCATTTTTAATAGGATTTTAATGGCCCCAATTACTTCTACTGCATTAGTATAGGCGGACAATTTAAATAAATATTAATTTTATGCAAATTGGGCATTATATTTATTTTCATTAATTGTTCATCAGGGATATTTAGGACAGGCTTCTCCATCTCAACTTAACTTTCCTAATAAATCAATCAGTTAACTGAGCAAATTTAGGTTGGAATTTGTCCCAGTTAGGGCCTAGTCGTTAAACTGTAAAGTAATTGGTCGTTTTTCAATTTTATTGGAATTTCAGAGCAATTACGGCTTATTAAACGGCATTTGAAAGACAACTAGTCAAGTTTATTTGTCTGAAAGAAGCAAGACAGTTTTATTCAATGAAAATTTGTCAGAGTTTCTGTGCAAGTCACGTAAATTATTTCTGCTAACAAGAGTTAGAATATTATTATTCTACAATGAAAACATACAATTTGCAAAATAAATTGCCAGTTAGTTAACAAGGTATGAAATACGAAAATAAAATTAGTCGACATGAGTATTGTTATTCCTTCTCATTCCAGTAGAATTACTAGAGGTATTTATTTATTCACAGCCCACGAAAACTAGGTCTTAGGTCAAACTAGTTGCTTTAATAACAATAATTATTACTGTCGACTAATTTGCATATAGATCTTAGTACAATAATTTAAAGTTGTAAAATCTTATACTCAAGTTCCTCGAGTGCTTCACAGTTTAATTAGAAAATCCATCACCGAACAAATCCAATAAAATCCTATATAAAAAGGCCGGATGTCAATTTCAAGAAAACGTGTTTACGAATTTACAATGTTAAACCGAAAGTTTATGACTTTCAGGCCCCAGTTCCTGTCGAACTGCATTAAAGTTTCACAGATCCTTTGAAATTGGAGGGAAAATAAATTGGTATTTTGTCATTTTTAGTGTCGGTTATTTTGTGTCAATTTAGCAG